TAACATTAAATGGCCAGCAAAGAAATTTCCTTTTAGCTATTTTACTTCTAAATTTGGGTGTCCCTACCTAATAAATATAGAAAATTCTTATGATTAAAATATGTTTACTTTTAACAGTTCCTCAAAATCACTAATTGTTTTTACGGAAGATACTAGAATGAATAGCACATATAATTTTACCATAAAAGCTACTTTGGAAATGGCATTAAAATCTGAGTACTACAATTATTCAATTTTGGTTAGAAATGATTGCTCCAATACAACAATTTATCCCTAGCAGCAATTATACGAATTCTATTATGACATTGCTTTAACCTTCTAAGTATTGACGAAATTAGAATGGACTTAAAGCTTACAAGATCAGTGTCCACAAATTATTTACGAATTTTTTAGACTTGATGGTGTTCCTATAAATAAATTTGTAAATTTCGAATTCAATAACTTAACAAATGTCCTTTCTTTCAAAATTAACACAGAGATAATCCCTTTCGAAACTAAAAGCTTGATAATAAAAGGATATGTAGATGATATTTTTGCTGAATCATTGTTGACTATTCATTTAACTGATAAATGCAAAGAAGTTACTTTTAATAAACCTAAAATAGGCGAGCAGTACATATATGAGCTAGGATCACCTCAGATAGAAGTGTTACATACTAATTGGACTTTTTTTGATGAACTCAAGTTTTGTGGATCAGTCTTTTATTCTATAATTGATCAAGATGAATAAAATTTCGACCCAGAAGTAATAACTTTAGACTTAATTAATGAAAAGATACTTATTTCAACATCTAATGAAACCAAAGTTGGAATGTATTACATCAGTATAAAAGGCTAGTTAAAGCCATCAGGGTTCAGCAAATCATATGATTTTCTCAATTTCACAATTTTAATTAAACTTCCTACAGCATACTCAGTTGGAGTTAGCTGTGACTATGCTAAATTGAAATAAATTCCATAAATTCCACCTATGAATTATGAAGTCGGAAAAAGTGGATAGATAAAAAGTTTTAATTTTGCCAAATGGTCGACCAATGAAACGAAATGCCAATTTTAGTCTTATTAAGCTTTTTATAATGGAAATTTATTGCCAATACCCTCTATTATATCTTTCTCTGAGTCATCTAGAATGTTTAGTTTTATTACTCAGGAAATTGAAGAAAATTAATCATCTGGAAATTATGAATTAACTATAGTAGGCCAATTACCAAATGGAATAAAATATAGTACAAAATTTAGTGTTCAAATAACTTCTTCAAACTAGGGAAAGTTGGAAATATAATAGTTATTGGGAAATGAACTTGCCATCTAGAAAGAGGTTGATTAAACCTTTTTTGTTTCTAAGGATTATTTCAAAATCAATAATAGAGTAATTAGGAGAGACAGT